AAGTAAGACGATAGTGATGGTTTTTGAAAGAGAAGAAAGTAAAACGTTATGTAAAATAAAAATCTAAGAGGAGTTGATTGAGAAAGTGGATGAGTTTGTGTATTTGGAATGTGTATTTAGCAGGGATGGTCCCGGACGGATGGAACCGGAGTCCCTTTTACTGGTAACAAGGTATTCTGTCTCAGTTCTCAGGGGTGACACGCATCTACATTGTGATTCTTACTTGAGATTAGTAGTTGTAGTAATAGTAGAGTACCATAGTTTGTAAGGAGCTTAGTTCAAATAGGTTTAACGTTGAACTAAAAATTAAAGAATCTGATATCAAGCTCACCTAAAGCAGTAACACCAAGGTATCGGTTTTGTGATCACTAACTCGCCTGCCCACGTAATGAGTATTAACAGAAATTCCAAGATATGTAAGGTAATTGGTCTATCCCTTGATAGACAGTTTTGGTTGTTTCATGATAAATACACTACACACGTTTGTATTTGTATTTGGAAAGTAACACCACATACCCTCACACTGCTAGGTGCAAGCCTCTACCATTCCTGAAATGGTCTTAGTATCATAAATGGACATATTCATATTCACGGAAATGTCCAAACTGCCATCCCCATTACGCGTTGGTAGGCTTTACATGTTCAGTTAATTTTTAACTTAGATATGCAGGCTCACGATATTTTCTTACACCGCCAAGCTCGTGATGATTTATAACTTAAATAACATCGATCACTAATAAAGAACTGATCGATGATAACTTAAAATTGCAACCGACCAATCTTAGAGGCGCTAGCGAGAATCGAACTTAGCTTGCTTGTATGCTATAGCTTGTTTATACGAACGCTTATCTCTTGAGCTAGCCTGGTTTGTTTTGAAATGCAATTTAATAATTCCATAAAAGCGATAACAAAGTAAATAACGCAATATTGTTTTCAATCGCTCCATTTCTAATTAAAGGACGTACCAAGGCGTTATTGCCCGTCGCTATGGTATTTTTAATGTTGCATAACATGTAATCTCATTGCGAAATATGAAGGCAACTCCTATAATTATGTTTTTAATTGAATGCCTATTGTTCATCGTAAGAATACTAACTTGAAATTGTAAATTTTATCAAAGCACTGATATTTTATGGAAAATGTGAGTCCGTTATAAGTTTAGTACCCGGTTGACCAAGCTTTGCTCGGTATTTTTCGCTCGGTTTTTTTTAATTCGTGAGTTTTGGAAATTATATTTAGATACAAATTACATACTTATTAAATACGAATAATATTTTTTGATCTTAGCGACATAATAGAAAAAACTGAACTGGTTATTTGAATAAAAAATCATGAGTGCAATTAGTTTAATAATTTGGAAAATACAGGGCTCGAAAAAATAGATTTTCTCAAAAAAGAAAGGAACTTGAAAAAAAAATTAAAAAAAGTCGGTCGGTCGGTCTGGGCTCAAACCGCGGTGTTACGATTTGTGACCGCCCTGTATACCAATTAAGCTATTTGTAATCATTAATATTCTGTCAAAATTTACCTTCTTATTCTAAAGATATTGTAGCAGTTTTTCATTGCCTAAAAACACGGACAAAAAGACATTTTCTAAAAATAAATCCTAGCTAGATCGATTTATTGCCCCCGAAACTCCCTGCACACAAAATTTTATAAAAATCGTTGGAGCCGTTTCCGAAATTCCGATTATATATATATATATACAAGAATTGCTCGTTTAAAGGTATAGGATTTGACAATTTCATCCTCGTCGATTAAGGGTACAAGTAAAAGGGGTCAAATAATATATGTATTATCATCACCCTATTCTTTTTCGTAGAAGTCAGTGACTATGAAAAATGCCAGTAGAGTTTAAGTAAAATTATGTTTGTTATGGCAATGTGATAGATGGCAGTATGATAGTTTCGTTTACGCCAACCGTGAAATTTCAATACAGATGATGAGAATCAGCGTCATAATGTGTGGCATTTGGTAGTGCATCCCTCCTCCTGCCAAGCGTTGCGATAAGGGCAAATTCTCCCTATAACAGAAAAAGCTTTTCTGTAGTGAGCGTTGTCAGACGTACGGATAAAGCCGGACACAGTCAGGCTTTTGGTTGCGTGTCCGGCCAAATTAGACGGTGTCCGGCTTTTTTAAATTTTACCATTTCTTTACATTTTTCATATACTTACACTTATTATTTTTATTATTAGTTATTATTTATTTGGTATTTTCGAGACGAAGACTCATTCCAAAAGTGTCAATCTCTATTGGAGACTCATTGATTCCCAATGTGAGCCATGTGAAATTCCTCGGTGATATGCTAGATAATAAATTGTCTGGAATTCCCCACTTATCCTACATAGCTTCCAAATGCGAAAAAAAATTTAACGCCATTCGCGCTATATGAGCTTGGTGGGGCGGGACTCTCATCCTTACTCCCAAAAGCTCTTGTATAATGTTTTGATAAGAAGCTATTTTGACTATGATTCCCTTTTGTGTAAGTGTTGTTTACATACATACTATTGAAGTTATTGAATTTAATATTGTTATGAATATTGAATAATTAATAATAAAGAAGACTGATTTATTCAATTGTTGTTATTTCGTTGGAACTTAAGATTTTACGGTAAACGATAAAAAGGATTGTTTTACTTTAAAAAAATATATCTTTTTAAGACAAAAAATAAGGATGTCCGTCCTTTTTATCAAAATATCGGGGTATTATACTATTTCCATCGATAAAAATATTGCTTAGTTAGACAACATAATGGATCTTTCATTTTCATAGTACTAAGTATCATTCTATTTGCTTTTCTGTTTTCAAATTAGAGGCGATTAGTGAAGTTATTTCGCATGCGACATTGTCTAGGTTTTAACCTGGACAAGCCTGTTTTCAACCGACTTCAAAAAAAGTTTTCAAATCGACTGTATCTTTTTATGTGTGTGACGTCAGAACTTTTTTCTAGATGAACCGATTTTGATGGTTCTTTTTTTAATTTGTAAGCTGGTGCTTCTCATGTGGTCCTAAATAAATTTTATCAAGATTTACCCAATCGTTTTAAAGTTATCCTTAATAATGCATACATTGATGATGTTCTCATTTTATTTATATTAAAGTCGGCTGTACAAAATTTTTAATATTACAATTTTTTTCTTCTAAACTGTTTAAAGTTCGAAAAATTAGATAAACTAGATAACAATTTTCCGGTCTTGTCCTGTATTCCGCTGAAAGTATGTATTACGAATTGCTTTGCTTTCAAAGTCAAATCCAAACAAATTAAGTTGTGGTAAATTTACTTTATCTAATGCTTACGTACATTGTTATTAAATAAATAGTATTTAGCATGTGAATTCAGTATCATTTAATAATAAAGTTTTGTTTAATGACAGTTTCTTTATTTCAACAGTCCGCTTTACTTATATTATAAGTGGTATTATTAAACAAGTTAAGAATAGACGTCCTTTCATTTCTAAGAGCCCAATCAGACTGCACTAGCGGGTGCGGAGGCGGGCGCGGGCGCTCGGGTCTTGGCGTCTGCATATTCAGAGTGCCAAACGAGCTACGAGTGTCATTGCAAATGTGTTTGGTCGTTCTCAAACTTTGCTACGTATTTAGAAGACATGGATGAAGATTTGCTTTTATTAATGGAAAATTCATACTTGAAATGGAAATTGCAATATAGAAGTTTGGCACACACGATTTAAATAAAGGAAGAGAAGAGTTTGGAGAATTTTATGTATTATACGCTGATTTACGGACGTATCCCGATAAATTCTTTGAATACACGAGAATGTCATTAGACACTTTTGGCTACATATTAAATAAGATCTCCGAGATCCATGTTTAGTCAAGATTGACACCAATTTATTTCTTCCCATAATTTATTTATTTATGGCCACCCTATTTAAATGTTACAGATGTTTGCTCTGCCAAATAGCAGTGCGATGTTGTACTGCAGATATAAATTCTTCCGTATTGATATCCATGATGATTGACGACGCTTCGGCGGGTGAATCAAAATGGTTTAGAACCACAAGCGCAGTCACCTAACAGACGCTAAATCACTGTGAACGATGCGAGCGGACCAAGCCATTAGAAACACCCGCGCCGAGTGCGCCCGCGCCCGCCTCATGCAGACGCTCGGCTCGCGGGAGCACTCTGAATGCAACTGGCGTCTACATACTCGTACATTTTGATTTACACGCGCCCGCGCTAGCACCCGCGCCCGCCTCCACTCTGAAAGAGTACTAAGAGGTTTTTGGGTCAGGAAAAGTCGACCGCGCCATTCCAATGTAAAATCTGGTAACTTGAAATGTTTTGTAATTTCCCAGACACTAAAAATGTAAACAAAAAACTGTTTTCTAAAATGTTAATTGTCTGATTCTATAGAGGTACCGAAATGACAGAAAAAAAAGAAATATCTCATAACGAATATACAATTGTTAGTGTTATTTAAAATACGTGTTTTTTTATATATTTAATTTAGCAACATTTTTAATTGTGTCATCGCTGTCCTTGACGACGGCACAGAGTAAGCAAGTATTGATATTATGTGTGTTTATTTTATTTTAATTTATTTTTGTTGTGGTATTTTTCTCTAAAAAGGTTAACATGATAGTGTATTTTAGGGTAATTTCTTTAATGTATTATTACATATATATACATCTATATATATATATATATATATATATATATATATATATATATATATATATATATATATATATATATTATTTAAAAGTGCCGAATTCTTAAAATTGCAATTAACAGTTTCATTTGCGCCTCCGGGAGTGAAACTTGGTAAATGTAGTATGCACTTAATTCACACATGTCATCTGAAGCAATAAACATTTTTTTTAAATATCGGCACCGAAGACTAAAATACTGTAGTATAAAATGTAGATTAGCCTTAGTGCTAAACTAAATTAATATTTTATATTATAATTAAAAAGTAATAATTTTAATCCTGACCGCTTTTAGCCTACTGCTGCATTATATTATCGTTTTGTTACAGCGATCCTTTCCTTGTACCTTCGCGACAAGTTGGGCTATTCGGACAACGGAGCCACAGTCATATACCATGTGTTCACAATGTTCGCATACTTCTTCCCAGTGCTTGGTGCGATGATCGCTGATGGGTGGTTGGGACGTTTCAGGTAATTATTTGGTCTGTTTGACTTTGGGTATGTTTCGTGCGGTTTTAATTAAATTGTAGATTTTGTCACGTTGTAAATTTTCGCGCCCTTTTCATTGTATTTTAGTTGATTTTAACAATGTAGCATATTTGACACGGTAAAAGTGATAAAATCTAATTTTAAACTTATCAAGTAAATACATGAGCCGGTTTTTTAAGGATATCTTTTATGACAGTGAAAATATATAATTTAAAGAAAATTTTAAAGAAAATGGGCAAATGAAATAACTATTATATTTGCCCATTTTCTATTTAGATACTTTTTTATATACTATAACATATGATAATGGTAAGTAGGGTATCTTACGCGTTACTGAAGGAAAGAAAAATGAACTATGACATCGGGACGTCATACACCTCAGTACTCCTGGTGACTATGGGTGCTGTATGCATTACGTTTTCCTTTGCGGGGTAGACAGAGAGGATGAATCGCAAAGAGACCGTTTCTGATATACCACTGGCTTATTTTTTAGTTAGTAGTTCTTGTAAGCCTACAGTATTTATTTGTTGTACCCTTGGTTTACGCGGGCGACCCTCAGGAGTTATAGTGGTCAATCCGCGAACTCGCTCAATATGTTTATAGTATCAAGAAGATCCCTTCTAAGTTCACGTATTGTTACAGGCAACTATGGAATCCTACATTGTGCATGACCCGACACGCTCTTGCCCGGTTTTTAAAGTCTGTCTGTCGGTCTATCCGGTTTACTCTTGAATGACCGAACTGCGTGAACAGATAGCGAGCAATGTTAGGTGTGATTTAGTTTAGGTTTTTTATCTTGAGGTTATTTTGTGAATTCGAAAACTAGTAAAATAAACTATTTTTAATGATTATCTCATTAACTGTATAAGATACAAAAAGTTTCAAACATATCATTTTTTGCAAAAATCCTTTTTCTCACATTTTATATTATATCTTTTATTTTTTAAAGAATAAGGGTAACAAACGAGCACACAGTCCACCTGATGGTAAGTGGATGCTGTAGCCCATAGACATCTACATTTATCTTCAATTAAGAATCAAAATGCAGATGCGTTGTCACCCCCGAGGACTGAGATGGAATGACCCGTTTTCAGTAAATTTATCTCCGGTTCTCTACAGTCACCATACGAAACACAGGAGCATTAAGCTGTTATTTTACGCTGGTATTCTGTGAGATCGTGGTCGTACCTCGGTCGAGCCGACCCATTCGTTTTGAAACCACAATATAGCTGCAGCATGGCTCTACCGCGTCAAAAAATCTCTTAAAGTTTTAGTGCAAATCGATTTTTAAGATTTTTTGCACCTTAATAAAAATGTATATCGTAACTACGAGCATTGAAAAATATGATAATAAGACTATTATTAAGTGAAATACATAAATCTTACATTTTTATTTTAAAAATATTACTATATCACACAGTTTTCTGTGCTATGAGTTATTATGTATTAGAGTTTAAAAGTTGTTTTTCATAATTGAATCACTTGCCCAAAGACCGACGAAAAAGAGATTTAATATACCAAAGAGATTTGAATATAATATACTCGTATACTATAGAGCGGACATTGGGAACATTTGCATACAAAAACTGTAAGCTCGCGCGTGTGTTAAGCACTCTAGCGAAACATAGCAATACTACGCCAAATATTTATTAGGAAAACGTTTTGGCTATTCCCCATTAGGTGACGCTACTAAATAACTAAACATAAGGAAAAATCCGTTTTAGGCACGTCTTCAATCACTAACACATTGGTAAATAAATAGCGACGTTACTGGATAACAGAGGGCGCTTATTACTATATTTACTACAATAATGATTGACGATATCACTAAGACTAAATGACGACAATTTTGTTGTTGATGTCCGGTCTATTACTACTTCTTAAATGTCTTTGACGGAGGATAATTACAGGGTTATTTTCAAAGATTGACCGAATTTTAAACTTAAGTTAAAATGTATAAATAATGATATAACGTTATTACAGTTTTTGAAAATACGAGTAAATAAGGCTTCTACTTTTATTTTAAATTATCCTTAATTGAATGTGATTTATGGGCAACAACGTTTTTGCTTACCGATCTACACTTACGAAAGTGTGCGTGCAAAATCAGTTAAAATAATGCATTGCCACACATTTTGAATTTAAAAGATAAAATGGACATAATATTTGAGTTTTTTTTAGTAATTAATTTTTCTTCACCATTTGCATATATTACTTATCCTGAACCTTCTCTGCAAATTTGGCCGGTTATTGCAAAATAACCTGTATATCATGCAGGTTTTTTTTTTTGATTAGTAACGGTTTTTTCCCCGACGTGCCTAGTAACGGATAAAAGCTAAAATAGAAGAGCACGCCGTTCTATCGGTTTTATTATAATATTACCTTTTTAAACTGTTTGTTATACTGATTTCTCTGAACTTTGAATGATTTGTTCAAGAGCTATAGCAATGATAAAAGTTTATGTATTCAATTTCAGAACAATATTTTACCTCTCGCTTGTATACGCCACGGGTACCGTCCTGATATCCGTGACCGCAATGCCACCAGTTCGACTGCCTCAATTGTAAGTTGTTTATTTCACATCCACATTTTTATAATACATTTATTGTTTTTGTTATTAAGCTTTATTTATTTTATTTATTTTTCTTTATTGCATTCCTTACAACAAAAGAATTCAAAGGGCGGAATTAATGCCTTGAGGCATCATCTACAAGTCAATCCATGGAGTGGTGAGAATATAAGTACGACTGAAATGTATTTAGAATGGTCCGTAAATGAAAAAGCAAGTAATGACACCATATTGCGTTTTAAAAAATGGACCGCGTTGTTCAAAAACGTTTCAATCCGTAAAATCATAAGATTATTTAAATTCAAAAGATAAGTGTGATTTTCTTGTGGTAGAATGTTATAAAATTGAACGTAGATCTTGGGATTACATTTTATTTAACCGACTTTTAAAAAGGAGGAGGTGCTCAATTCGACTATATTTTTTTATGTGTGTTACCTCAAAACTTTATTCCAGGTGAACCAATTTTGATGATTCTTTGTTATTTAAAAGCTGATGCTTTTCATGTGATCTTATATAAATTTGATTAAGATCTGACCAGTCTGAGTTATCCTTAATAATGTGTATTTAATTGTCTTCGACTACATTGATGATGTATTCTATTAATAAATTTTCGGTTGTACAATTTTTTTAATTTAAATATACTAAATAGTTTTCCGAAGTTTTTCATGCTTACAATAAAACGAAAAAAGGAGCCTCTTCATTATTATGGCCCGTTTGTGGATTGGATCAATTACGCTCAACACAGTCCAAATATTGAGTTGAAATAGAATTATTTTATTTAATGTAGATTATACATAATACTCATTGAAGGTCATATTAAGTTTAATTTATCACTAGTATATAGTAAATACCTTTTTCGTTAAAAGACCCAGCCAGAAACCTCGCGAGAAATAGTTTACAATTAATCTGCCGCTATTGTTGGTTAATTAAATATGTATATACATAAATCCATAACTGTATAAACAGTTAATTTTTAATATATACAACCATTAATAAAAAATGACATTATTTCATTTGGTTTAACAATATTATTTTATTATTGTATATTTATTATTTTGTTTTTACATAAAAATAAGGTAATTACCGAAAGTTTTTTACCTATATAGATTTGTATATACATATTTTAATTACTTAAATATACAAAAGTGCTTAAGGAAATACTTATATGCTTACATATTTTAAAAGAATAAAAATAATAACTGCAGTTGCTTTTTTATTCTCAAATGCGGATCAATAATTGCTTAGTTGCGATATTGTTATCATAGCCACCTAGTCACTATCGGTCGAAGGCCATCCTCCACTTTGCTTACCGGTACGTCGCGTCGTTCCCAATCGATAGATAACCTTTCATCTCCATCGGTTGTCGGTTTTTTGACGTCGGCCGGACCATTGCCATTTTAGCTTATTTTTCCATTAGGCTATATCGGTTATTTTATCTCTATAATATTTTGTCGTATATTTTTTATATCGATCTGGTATAAGAAAAATATTTTCAATGTAAAGTACTTATAATCTATATAGAACCCTCTCAGATATGAGAGAAGGCCTGTGTTCAGCAATAGGACTTATATAGGCTGTAACTTTAACTTTAACTATAAAGAACAAAAAATATTCTATTATATTATATGTCATAACCTAACTGATGCTTTTAATTTTACCTTCTTTTACAGAGAATTTACAATCATAGCGCTCTTACTCATAGCGTTCGGAACGGGCGGGATAAAGCCGTGTGTGTCGGCTTTCGGCGGAGACCAATTTAAATTACCAGAACAGGAAAAATATCTAGGATATTTCTTCTCCCTTTTCTATTTTTCAATTAACGCCGGAAGTCTTATTTCTACGTTCCTTACTCCGATCTTAAGAGCGGACGTGAAATGCTTCGGGGAGAATGACTGTTATTCCCTAGCCTTCGGAGTTCCTGGCATACTGATGATTGTTTCTGTAGGTGAGTTTGCATGTTTCGGTTGTCTTTTTGTCCTTTATCGCTGATTTTAAGTCCGCTGGTAGATTTTTTATAAGAATTACATATAGCAATAATTATATATAGGTCTACCCAAGAGCGTTTTTTAATGTTACCCCATACCCATACAGTTGTACTACTCTGTACAGACAATCCGTTCCCCTCCAATCTTAAATCTGATTACCCTCGAATTTATTCTGTAGAATTTCGAATTGACATTTTTGAATAGGTTTACGCTGTCATTGTTCCGTCAGCCAGCAGTTTACATTTATGAAAAAGAAATACGGTGAAACCTTACATCTTTGCCCACATATTTCGGTTTTTATTACTTTTTTCAAAAAATAGTTACTTTATTTTGATGGTTGCTGAAGCTTTAAACGACACTCTATGCAACAAATAAACTGTCAAAACCGGGTGACATAATTCCTAACAGATGCTAAGAAAAAAACAAAAACAGACGAGGGCAAAGTTATCTCCACTTTCTTACATCTTTGCTCAACCTAAATTTCTCAGCAACTATAAGGTCTATGACTTTGATTTTAAGATATATTGTTAGCAAATCGGCAAAATGGTATACCATTACATTTTCAAATAAATAGAAGTCCATTTTAAGTTTTAATGGCGGTGGGCAATGTTATCACCACATTTAGTCACACTTTCATACTAAGAGATTATAGTTGCTAGGGCTGTGTATCAGATGAAAGAAAAATAATAAACTGATTTTAATATAATAATGTATATTTTATTTTAAAAATTAAAAACAAAAACTAACTGAACAACAAAAAAAATCAAGAAAATGTAAATTGTCTCAGAAATTAACCCTGATAGTTAAGATAAGGAAAAGTAGACAGCGACGATACTTATTTAATATAATACGAGTCCAGCTTATACCGATTTTGTTACCACTGATGTGCGTGGTTCACATACTGTGCGTATCAATCCATTTTGTCGGCCATTTTTGTCTGCGATCGTTAATGTCTGTCGTTGAGGAGACAATTCTCTTTTAGATTTAATTTTTTTTGCAAACGAATTGCCGCATAAATCTTATTTAAAAACTTTAGCTTGAAACTGAGAACATTTAAGGTCTCTCTTTTGGGAAACTAGCGGTTTCTGACAAAAATTCCCCACAAATATATACCTATTTATTATATTTAAAATAATATATAAAACAGTATCTAGTTACCTATATAGTTATCACAACAGTAGTTTAGTTAACAGTGGTTATTGTTATACAGTTTTTATATACCTATATACATTTATTTATTTTATTAAGTATACCTATATATTTACAATTTTTACATATATAATTTTTATTTATTATACCTAGGTACATGTTTCCTTGTTTTGTTTTCAATAGTGTCAACCCTAATAACATTTTTGAGCTGGGCAATGTTGTCGACCTCAGTTTATAAAATTGCTTACAACATTACCCTCACAATTTTCTCGCTAACTAAGACAAATGTAAGAAAGAGACCTTGATTAAAAGCAGCAACAACTAATGCCCTACACGTAAATAATAATGAATCTTACCTGCGCAGCGTTTCTTGGCAATGCGGGATGCAAAACTGCAACAATGTTTTTGCACCACCTTCGACACTGTCTCTTTGACGGTTGCTGACAGATGCCTGAATATAATTAGCTGCGATTGTAGTAGTTAGTGCTGTCAAACGGATACTCTAGTTTTCCCTAGACACCATACAAAGTTGACATTTGTTAAAATAAAATGTCTATCGGTAGTTTTAGTTAATTTTCGTGTTTGGGCAAAGATGTCCCTCAAGGGCAAAGTTGTAAGGTTTCACGGTATCAAAAAATACGTTTAAATATTGACCCAATTCAATCTCTACCACCTAGCTGTACTACCTAGCTGCACATGAATAAGGAGTATTAGATCCTACAGACTTTGGCTAGAAGACTACAGACAAATTTAGAATCGTTTGGAAGGAATATGGGGGAGTAAAATGTTTTATTTGGTAGACATTTGGTCACCGATTATAATACCTAATACCACTCCCATTAAAAGGTAATGCACCGTTCTTGAGAAAACTCAAAAAGAAAATCCCATAGAACTAACCTCAAAATCATAACTCAAAATGAATTAAGGGGTGGGAGGTGGTGGAGAGGGAGGCGGGGTAGTTTTAGAGTCGCTCCACACTTACACATCCTGCCGTACATGTTTAGTTTTTTTTATAAATTTTTAAAAATCTAATTTTGAGGTTATGTTTTTGTAATATTTTTGACTATAAACCTGATTTATTGGGGGAGAGAGTTGGAGGAGGGAAGCACCATGTAGCGCAGGCGAGGGAAGGCTAGTCGACGGAGCCCCGCTTCGCGGGGCTCCTACTTCTGAGTGGTTTACAAAAAAACAACCACGAAGGGAATGGCGTTGTCTATTCGCTCGCTTCGCTCGTTCACTCGACCCCGCCATCCCCTTCTAACCTAACCTGTCCGAGTCGGGGTGCCCTAAGTCCCGAGCTCGCTTCGCTCGCTCTTGCACTCAACAAAACATCAAAATATTAGCTTTTATAATTACTTTAAATTATAAACTTAATATATAATACAATAATAACTACACTACAGCTCGCACAGGTGTCTGCGATTTGCTACGACGGGCGGGGGCTGCTCTCCCTCCGCACCTACGGCTTTACAAAAACACTTTAGGAGTAGGGCAGACAAGACTACGTGGATTCGGGGCGTGCTGATTTAATTTTAGTACAGATTCGATCAGATCAGATATCTATAGTCAGGTTGCCTTTGCTCCCGCCACAGACACAAAATTTTGTATGTTATCCAGCTTTCACAGTAATATCGTATACCTAATTTTTTTCTCAGAAGGGCTAGAACCCAGAGCCGTAAAGTCAGTTAATAATAAAAAATGTATCATTTTCCATACTTTACGTATTTTAGGCTATAATAGTTTTTATTTAGTTTTTCGATAACGGTGCATTACCTTTTAATGTGAGTGGTATTATTATAATCGGGGACCAAACCTCTACCAAATAAAACACCTTAGTCCCCCAAACTCCTGCCAAACGATTCTAAATCCAACCCCCTAAGTAAGTTCCCTATACCTACCCTAGCTCTACCCTACCATATAAATATACATACATATTGGGTAAGTGCGGGATGTCTGCACCATGAGACCTAAGGTAAAAGACGGAGAGAGACTGGATGTCAGGGTTAGGTGATGGGGTTCTCTCACTGCCTGTCAATCAGGCTCACAAGACTGATCAGGAGTTCTGAAAGCTAAAGGTGTCTGGGCCGCAGTGAAAGGGATACCTTACCTGGAGTCTCGGCGATAGTAATAAAATCGTCGTCCAGCGTTGAAAAAGGCTTTTATTAACGACACGTTCCAATTTATAGCATGTATTTTATTTAAGTAACTACATACACAAATTTACATCATATTCTACTAAGATTACTCAGAAATTATGTGTTTGAATATTATATTTTATAAAAAATTAGCTCTTAAAGTAGTAAATTTGGCTATAATATCTTCCATTTTCAGTGTTCTTTGTGGCGGGTAAAAGACTTTACATAATCAAGAACCCGGCGGGCAATATCCTGGGAAACGTGTCTGCTTGTGTTGGCGTGAGTCTCAGCTTCCTGTCATAAGTAATCTTAAATGGCTAGCCTTTGTATTGATATCTAGCTTCTTACCCATTCACTGACAAAAAAGACGTTCGTTAAATAATAATCCAAATAATAACACAGATGACCTAATATTAACTGGTATAATATGAAAATCCTATAATCTCAAATATTATACATAGATACAATATTTAAACATAGATTGCGAAATAAAATATTAAATATTAATTCTGGTACAGAAGCAAGACTCGCGTAAGAGTTCAAAATTTGGTATTAATCTAGTAACATATTTCTCGATGCTATTCGATGACTACATCCTCTTCTTCATCTTCTTAAAAGCAGATATAAGAGATCAAGGACTTGGTGCAAGGAATAAAAAAGGACATTCAAATATAAGTGACGAATATAAAGACATCTCACCGTGCTAACACTTTTCATCCAATTTTTTTTTAATTCCAACCGTATCATTTCCCTTTTCTGTAGAACTATAGAGTTCCGTAATTTATATTATTTATTTCGCCTTATGATAAAATACCCCTTCCATTGATTTATATATAGCTCTATTAATTATCTCCTAAACCATAGAGAAACAATTGTATTTGACAGCATGCTGTGTTAAAATCATGCAAAAGCAAGGAGAAACGAGAACACTGGCTTGATCACGCAGACGACAAATACGACTCGAGTCTAATCGAAGATATTAAGTCGCTACTGCAAGTGCTGGTCCTCTTCATCCCTTTACCAGTCTTCTGGGCGCTATTTGATCAACAGGTAAGTTAAAGAGAAAAATTTTCATATTTTCTTGTTTCTTTGGTAAATTGAGCCGTGACACTGCTTTCCATCGCAGGCATATGTAATTTACAACCGGAACAAAAATATTACATATCCATCTGATGGAAAATATACAATTTTCCTGGCATTTCCGTAAATCGCCTTTTAGGACACCTACACTATGAGATTTTCAGGTTCTCTTACGAGGCAACCATACGTCAAAGTACTTTTAATTTAACTTGATTTTTTAAAGGTTGTTTACTATTTGTGTATAGCATAAACACTCACGCCTGTCACCCAGAGGGGTAGGCAAAGACTACAGACTTCCATTTGGCACGATCCTGACACACCTCTCTCGCCTCCTTCACATCCATATCTATATTGTCTATATGTATACAATTGGTAAAGAAAACCACACAAGGAGTGTAATGACCACAGAAATCGTAATAATATTATTACTATTTCTGCGGTAATGACATTAGCAAAAAAAAATACAAAAATGTTCTCCGCATAGTGGCGGCGTAAGAAGTTCAATCTGCCCGTGCGTGTAAAATAGACGACAGAAGGAGTCTGAAATTCTGAGACAGTAGATGGACAGCAGCTTCTTCCTGATAACAACTTCCTTAATAAAATGAACACAAAAATGTTCTCCGCATAGTGGTGGCGTAAGAAGTTCAATCTGCACGTGCGTGTAGAATAGGCGACAGAAGGATTCTGAAATTCTGAGACAGTAGATGGACAGCAGCTTCTTCCTGATAACAACTTCCTTAATAAAATGAACACAAAAATGTTCTCCGCATAGTGGTGGCGTAAGAAGTTCAATCTGCACGTGCGTGTAGAGTAGACGACAGAAGGAGTCTGAAATTCTGAGACAGTAGATGGACAGCAGCTTCTTCCTGATAACAACTTCCTTAATAAAATGAACACAAAAATGTTCTTCGCATAGTGGTGGCGTAAGAAGTTCAATCTGCCCGTGCGTGTAGAATAGGCGACAGAAGGATTCTGAAATTCTGAGACAGTAGATGGACAGCAGCTTCTTCCTGATAACAACTTCCTTAATAAAATGAATACAAAAATGTTCTTCGCATAGTGGTGGCGTAAGAAGTTCAATCTGCCCGTGCGTGTAGAATAGGCGACAGAAGGATTCTGAAATTCTGAGACAGTAGATGGACAGCAGCTTCTTCCTGATAACAACTTCCTTAATAAAATGAATACAAAAATGTTCTTCGCATAGTGGCGGCGTAAGAAGTTCAATCTGCCCGTGCGTGTAGAATAGACGACAGAAGGAGTCTGAAATTCTGAGACAGCAGATGGACAGCAGCTTCTTCCTGATAACAACTTCCTTAATAAAGTGAACACAAAAATGTTCTTCGCATAGTGGTGGCGTAAGAAGTTCAATCTGCCCGTGCGTGTAGAGTAGACGACAGAAGGAGTCTGAAATTCTGAGACAGTAGATGGACAGCAGCTTCTTCCTGATAACAACTTCCTTAATAAAATGAATACAAAAATGTTCTTCGCATAGTGGTGGCGTAAGAAGTTCAATCTGCACGTGCGTGTAGAATAGACGACAGAAGGAGTCTGAAATTCTGAGACAGTAGATGGACAGCAGCTTCTTCCTGATAACAACTTCCTTAATAAAATGAACACAAAAATGTTCTCCGCATAGTGGTGGCGTAAGAAGTTCAATCTGCCCGTGCGTGTAGAGTAGACGACAGAAGGAGTCTGAAATTCTGAGACAGTAGATGGACAGCAGCTTCTTCCTGATAACAACTTCCTTAATAAAATGAACACAAAAATGTTCTTCGCATAGTGGTGGCGTAAGAAGTTCAGTCTGCCCGTGCGTGTACAAGGCGACAGAAGGATTCTGAAATTCTGAGACAGTAGATGGACAGCAGCTTCTTCCTGATAACAACTTCCTTAATAAAATGAACACAAAAATGTTCTCCGCATAGTGGCGGCGTAAGAAGTTCAATCTGCCCGTGCGTGTAGAATAGGCGACAGAAGGATTCTGAAATTCTGAGACAGTAGATGGACAGCAGCTTCTTCCTGATAACAACTTCCTTAATAAAATGAACACAAAAATGTTCTCCGCATAGTGGCGGCGTAAGAAGTTCAATCTGCCCGAGCGTGTAGAATAGACGACAGAAGGAGTCTGAAATTCTGAGACAGTAGATGGACAGCAGCTTCTTCCTGATAACAACTTCCTTAATAAAATGAACACAAAAATGTTCTCCGCATAGTGGTGGCGTAAGAAGTTCAATCTACCCGAGCGTGTAGAGTAGACGACAGAAGGATTCTGAAATTCTGAGACAGTAGATGGACAGCAGCTTCTTCCTGATAACAACTTCCTTAATAAAATGAACACAAAAATGTTCTTCGCATAGTGGTGGCGTAAGAAGTTCAGTCTGCCCGTGCGTGTAGAATAGGCGACAGAAGGATTCTGAAATTCTGAGACAGTAGATGGACAGCAGCTTCTTCCTGATAACAACTTCCTTAATAAAATGAACACAAAAATGTTCTCCGCATAGTGCCGGCGTAAGAAGTTCAATCTGCCCGAGCGTGTAGAATAGACGACAGAAGGATTCTGAAATTCTGAGACAGTAGATGGACAGCAGCTTCTTCCTGATAACAACTTCCTTAATAAAATGAACACAAAAATGTTCTTCGCATAGTGGCGGCGTAAGAAGTTCAATCTGCCCGAGCGTGTAGAATAGACGACAGAAGGAGTCTGAAATTCTGAGACAGTAGATGGACAGCAGCTTCTTCCTGATAACAACTTCCTTAATAAAATGAACACAAAAATGTTCTCCGCATAGTGGCGGCGTAAGAAGTTCAATCTGCCCGTGCGTGTAGTATAGACGACAGAAGGATTCTGAAATTCTGAGACAGTAGATGGACAGCAGCTTCTTCCTGATAACAACTTCCTTAATAAAATGAACACAAAAATGTTCTCCGCATAGTGGCGGCGTAAGAAGTTCAATCTGCACGTGCGTGTAGAATAGACGACAGAAGGATTCTGAAATTCTGAGACAGTAGATGGACAGCAGCTTCTTCCTGATAACAACTTCCTTAATAAAATGAACACAAAAATGTTCTCCGCATAGTGGTGGCGTAAGAAGTTCAATCTGCACGTGCGTGTAGAATAGACGACAGAAGGATTCTGAAATTCTGAGACAGTAGATGGACAGCAGCTTCTTCCTGATAACAACTTCCTTAATAAAATGAATACAAAAATGTTCTCCGCATAGTGGCGGCGTAAGAAGTTCAATCTGCCCGAGCGTGTAGAGTAGACGACAGAAGGAGTCTGAAATTCTGAGACAGTAGATGGACAGCAGCTTCTTCCTGATAACAACTTCCTTAATAAAATGAATACAAAAATGTTCTCCGCATAGTGGTGGCGTAAGAAGTTCAATCTGCACGTGCGTGTAGAATAGACGACAGAAGGATTCTGAAATTCTGAGACAGTAGATGGACAGCAGCTTCTTCCTGATAACAACTTCCTTAATAAAATGAATACAAAAATGTTCTTCGCATAGTGGCGGCGTAAGAAGTTCAATCTGCCCGTGCGTGTAGAGTAGGCGACAGAAGGAGTCTGAAATTCTGAGACAGTAGATGGACAGCAGCTTCTTCCTGATAACAACTTCCTTAAAAAAATGAACACAAAAATGTTCTTCGCATAGTGGCGGCGTAAGAAGTTCAATCTGCCCGTGCGTGTAGAGTAGGCGACAGAAGGAGTCTGAAATTCTGAGACAGTAGATGGACAGCAGCTTCTTCCTGATAACAACTTCCTTAATAAAATGAATACAAAAATGTTCTTCGCATAGTGGCGGCGTAAGAAGTTCAATCTGCCCGTGCGTGTAGAGTAGGCGACAGAAGGATTCTGAAATTCTGAGACAGTAGATGGACAGCAGCTTCTTCCTGATAACAACTTCCTTAATAAAATGAATACAAAAATGTTCTTCGCATAGTGGCGGCGTAAGAAGTTCAATCTGCCCGTGCGTGTAGAGTAGACGACAGAAGGATTCTGAAATTCTGAGACAGTAGATGGACAGCAGCTTCTTCCTGATAACAACTTCCTTAATAAAATGAATACAAAAATGTTCTCCGCATAGTGGCGGCGTAAGAAGTTCAATCTGCCCGTGCGTGTAGAGTAGGCGACAGAAGGATTCTGAAATTCTGAGACATTAGATGGACAGCAGCTTCTTCCTGATAACAACTTCCTTAATAAAATGAACACAAAGATGTTCTTCGCATAGTGGCGGCGTAAGAAGTTCAATCTGCCCGTGCGTGTAGAATAGGCGACAGAAGGATTCTGAAATTCTGAGACAGTAGATGGACAGCAGCTTCTTCCTGATAACAACTTCCTTAATAAAATGAACACAAAAATGTTCTTCGCATAGTGGCGGCGTAAGAAGTTCAATCTGCCCGTGCGTGTAGAGTAGACGACAGAAGGAGTCTGAAATTCTGAGACAGTAGATGGACAGCAGCTTCTTCCTGATAACAACTTCCTTAATAAAATATTTCAGTTGCCAACAAAAAGTATATTATTTTACTACAATTAGCCAAAATTTTGCAAGTTTTAAAAAACCGGCAACACCCTTTGACTACGACGGGCAACGCCAAGGTGTTGTACTCAACCGTATCTTTGAATAATGTGTACTGATATTATTAACTGACGGTTACCCCCACTGCATGTATTGCCATGTAAGTTTCCCCATTTGATTTTGATTTTATTATTGCGAGGTATTTTTCATTTATCCTCTGAAAAAGATTACATAAACAGAATCATATCACGATATTCAAAAGCACCTCCACGGATCGGAAGTGTTATTTTATACATTGTATAGTGCAACAACTAATGTTTGTATAATGATTTCTTATATTTACGCGAACACTACACATTGAAATAATACTAGTTTTTACGGAATTTATCGCGTATATTTAACTTTTTTTAAATACCCGACGTTTCGAACGCTTTACAGCACTCATGGTCACGGAATCTGCGGTCTATCAAATCTGATGTAGTAGACCGCAGATCCTCGCTAAAGAACACCGATTCCTTCCAAGGATGATTCGCGAGGCTATTGAAATCAAAAAACATCCTAATTTCAATAGAGAAGATGGCTGGGTGCTACCATCTGCTTGGGATCCTATAATAAATAAAATTAAATCCCAACCCAAGCATACAACTGCAAGACTTCAAGATACCATAAGTTCATACTGCATAGATCGGAACAAAAGTTAAATTTTAATCTATGGTAACCGCGGTTAACTATGACATATGGACGTTGAACATCTCAGTCTTGCCCGTGACCATGAGTGCTGTAAAGCGTTCGAAACGTCGGGTATTTAAAAAAAGTTAAATATACGCGATAAATTCCGTAAAAATTAGTATTATTTCAACTAATGTTTGTACTTATTGTGGTACATTCGTGCGTGAGTTATCACCAAAAGGTGCACTGAAAAACAGCGTACTGGTTAATATAACGAAATTGTGCTGAGTGAAGTCATTTTATGTGAAACCTCACTTTATGATTACTCTATTTTATTTCAATCAATTTATTCGGATTAAGTTTTTGAAGAGAAAGCCTCTTTAGGCACTTTGGTCACTTTTGGGATGGCGAAAAAGCACTAAACACGCGTGACCGTCACGCTCAGACAAATTAAATTGTTGTGTATTTATAAATTAGTTTCTATTCATAGACTTATTATTACACTACTATGTAATATATAGATTATAATAATTGTTTTTCATGTAAAACTGCGCAATAAATGAAAATGTTATTACTATATTTATACGTTGATAAAAATAATTTATAATAAAAATACTTCCTAATAATATTTCTTAACAATCCAAAAATAATATTTACAAGTTTTGAAGCTGAGAAGTTTTCATTTCTGACGTGTCCTACGACTGAAAGTTTTTTTTATTGTTTTATTGTAATCTGTTGCTTAGTGTATGTAATAAGTATATCTAATCAAGAAATGTTGTGTCTTTCTTAGCAGTTAACTTTTAGATCACTTCAGCTCATGGACATTTACAACCAACTTAATCAAAAACGCCTTAGAAGCGTTACCACCCCTGGGGACTATTGAAATGCCTCACAGTCTGTGACTAAACCGTCCTTCCTTCTAATTTTAATTCTTAAATATTTCCGTAAGGTTTACAGAATCATGACGCAAATACTTAAATTATTAGTTTTAATAACTAGGGTAACAAACCATATCCATTTTTTTGTATATTACTATATCATTGTATTTGTTTAGTATATTTTAATGTTAATCAATTTAAATTTGTTTTATTATTTTTTTTCTAATAATTAAAATTTCATTAAGTCTTGTTTAATTAGGGCTCAAGATGGACTTTTCAAGCGGATAGAATGGCTCAAGACATTGGGGGCTGGACCCTGAAGGCAGATCAGATGCAAGTACTCAACCCTCTACTCATCTTAATCTTCATTCCCCTTTTCGAAGTGGTAAGATATGATTCATAATTTTTGTTTTCCGGATAAAAACAACATTAAAACACAGACAGAATCTTATGTGTTGTAACTTATAACAGACCGCTACGTACATTTTGTCTTCCTTTGTTGATCTAGAACCAATACATATATCCAGATATAGATTAAAAAAAATATCAAAAGCTTTCAATGCATAAAAACGATTGTTATTTATTGTTTTGAATTATATATGTAACTAGCTTGCCAGGCAGACGTTGTTCTGCCCTTTTCGACGACCCTTTGTCATGTCCTATTAAAAATCCTTAAATTTAAAAAAAATTGTAGGTTACTCATAGGCAAAAAACTATCCTATCTCTCAAGTTGGATCAAACTGCACACGGTGTGCAAATTTGATTAAAATCAGTTAAGTAGCTTAGGAGTCCATCGCGGACAAACAACGTGGCGACACGTAATTTATATATATTAAGATTAGAATTGACTAGTCTATGTCAATTGTATTTTGTAAACACAATTTTAGATCAGTTTTCCGTTAGATTTCCGTTAAAATGATATGGTTATAATTTTTCTATCTATAAATGTATATATAATAAATAATAATGTCCTCCAGACCGAATTTAGGTCACGGCTTCCAGTCCTAACGAAGCACAGTCATTTACGCAGGTCAGGAGCAAACATGCACGAATGTATACGCAAATACAGAAGCGTTCTATGTCCTCACTCTCATAGCAAAGAATAATTAATATTACTACGTATCCAACACGACCAGAGAGATCAAATGCAAAAATATGCTTTATCTATACTAAAAAGTTAGCCTTATAATTTTTAATCTATATTGCGTATACAGAGTTATTTTGCAATAACCGGCCAAATTTGTAAAAAAGATTTTTATTTATTTTAATAAATAAAAATCTTTTTTACAAATTTGATAAGAAATTAAACAAATTAAAACAAGTTAATAAAATAACAGTAATAAAATTAAGTAATTTTAGGTTTACTAACACTAAGATATTAGGTCTTTCTGACAAATTGATATGTGATTTACTTTTCGAGTTAATTTTATAATTCATTTATTTATATCATGGCAAAATATATTCTATATATCATTATATATATACATACACGTATACGTACACACCAAATAAATATTTTATGTACAAGCTCACTTGACATAGCTACCTAAAGTAAGTGTTTCTTCATAATGTAGCTTAACGGCATCCTACGTTTACAAATAAAGGTAAATTAAACAACAGAATCTGTGTTTAATATGCATGTAGGTACGTACCTTGTTTCTAAAATCACTTTTACTGCCTGTAATAAAGGGATCGATGGTATTAAATGTTTTGTTATAATTTTATTGCAAACGTGTGGAGATACTATTTTTACCGTAAAGTGTGGAATGACGAGGTATACTAAACAAAGTTTTCTTGGTGATTCTTGTACGTTTTCTTTGCACATTAAACGTAACAGTATTCAGTAAATCCGGGCAGTCAATACCATCGCGTAAGATATCGTATAGAAATCCCATATCTAACAGTTTACGTCCTTCTTGAAGCGTAAGAAGGTTATAGTGTCGACAGTCATCTAAATATGGATGAGCTTTTATGTTTAAATTTATAGTTCAGGTGTGTAATAAATTTACGTTGTATTCTTTCAATATTATTAATGTAAATTTTAAAAATAAGATTCAAAATAAGAAATATAGGCAGATTGTGAAGAAAAATTAATTTGAAAAGAAACCACAACCACTGTGCTTTTTATACAGGGTGACGCAAAAGAACGTGCATATTGCGTCATCTTTTTTCGCGGGGTAAACAGTGCGCGGGCGGGGGAAGCCTAGCATAGTTGGATAGTGGCACCAGTGTTGCCAACGTAGGCGATTTTTCGCCATTTAGGCTACTCAGAACGAGAATCGGCGACGAAAAAATCTAAAAGGCGACTGGTCGCCAAATAGGCTACTCTAGGGATAAGTTTTTTATACTAGCTTGTATGTAATAGGTTTACATGTATTCTATTATGAATAATGACTACCGCAATTATCTGTGTTTACTGACTAAATAGTTCAGATAAATTCCGGTTATTCCTTGGTCACTTTCGCTTTGTACAACTTCTCCTGTGCTTGTTTTGTAAAATGGGTAAACATGGTAAATATATCAAGCATTATCGTGATGAATGGGAAAAACCGCCAGCATTCAAAAGTAAGTAAAAACGAAAGTACCGTTTTATATTAATGTTTTGTGTGATGTAGGTAGGTATATTATCTGTTACATGGTCTTACTACTTTCAGACCTGTGTTCCAGACAGTCGTGGTTTTTGGTTTCACAATCATTTTTTTAATATTTACCCAGTCTAGTTAAGATGTATTAGGTAGACTGAAACTGCACAAATAGCAAGAAATATGATCTGGTTATCAACCACTAGTACCATACCTATCTGGTACATACAATATATACATACCTACTGCCTAGTGCATTATTGAGTTCAATCTCTTTTACAGATTGGCTTAGTCGAGCACCTGTTGTACTGACGGATAGTGGTAACGGTGAGGCATTTTGTAAATTATGTATCACACCTCTCTGTGCGCACAAATCGGATTTAGAAAAGCACATGAAAACTAAAACACATAAGGACAAAGAATTAAGTTTTTCAAAAAAGCAACCCAAGCTTGCATCATTTGGCTACTCCTCAATTAGTAACAGTTCATCAAAAGAAAAAATAATAGACATACAAATATCTGCCTGTGTCGCTGCTCACAGCTCCATACACAGCATTGATCATCTGACAGATGTGTTAAAAACCTGTGGGACAGGGAGTCCTCTTGAAAACATTTAATTACATAGATCAAAGTGTTCGGCCATTATAAAAAAAGTTCTAGAACCAGCCATTCTCTAGGAACTTTTAGAAGAAGTTGGCAACCAGAGCTACTCTATTATACTGGATGAATCCACTGACGTAACAACAGAAAACTACATGGCATATTGCATCCGATACTATAATTCAAAACTAGAAAAAATAGTTGTTGATTTTTTAGGCTTTCAAGAAGTATTTGAAGCAATAGCTAGCGGCCTATATACATCATTTAAGAGTTTTATGTCTAAAATGGGTTTGAATCTTCAAAATCTAATTGCAATAGGAACTGATGGAGCAATTAACCTTTGTGGCAAACATAACTCCCTTTTCACTCTCTTACAAGCAGATATGCCCCATTTACAGCTATTGAAATGTGTGTGTCACTCCCTTAGTTTATGTGCCTCCAAAGCGTGCACGGAATTACCGTCTTTTCTGGAATATTTACTTAGGGAAACCAGAAATTGGTTTGACCACAGTCCACTGCGAATGAAAATATATCAGACCTATTTGAAACCATTAATGATTGTAAAAAAAAACCCTTGAAACTAACTCAGCTATCCACAACTAGATGGCTGGCGTTTCATTCAGCTGTTAAAATAAACATCAATCAGTGGCTTGAGCTAAAACTCACTTTAATGTGGTGAAATCATCAGAAAGATGTTATACAGCAAGGGAGCTTGCTGCCATGTATAATGATAATACAAATTTAGTATATTTGTTGTTTTTGTCTCCGATATTAAAAGAAGTAACAAATGTGAATATTATATTTCAAGCAAGTAATGCAAATATCACAAAAATATATAGCGATCTTCGGATTCTTTTACTTTCCATTGCAAGACGTGTTTTCAAACCAATATTTCTGAGAAGTCAAAGTTTGTCTGAAAATGCCTCTGTATCAATGCTACATGAAGCAGATATTGCAGCTGTTAGGCGAGCTTTAGAAAAAGCCGGAGCGCCATTTGACAATTCACTGCTTCCACTGGGCTCATTCGACTTTAGAGAAAAGTTCAATGATTTACTTGCAAAAAAGACTGTTTCTGCCGACAAAGCCAAAGAAGTGAAGCAACGATGTTCTGCTTTTCTTGTACGCTTAGTAAGAGAATTATGTCAACTAATTCTCTTACTAAGCCTACCGTAAGGTTACCGCTTAATGTGTCGGTGATGGAAAAAATTTAACTTTTTGCACCAAGCCGCGTATGCCTCTCTACCGGCAAACCCAACATTAAAGATTTTCCTTGGCAGTTAGGTGATCCCTATATTGACCAAGAAGCTGTTATGAACCAATGGCGCGTATTAAGCACTATGCGCATTGAGGAGATAATCGGAACAGCTGCTTCTCCTAATGACATTGTAAATTTTTGGATACAAGTGCTAAAAATGAAGAATGCTGGTGGAAGCCTGATGTTTAAAGAACTAGCAGAGTTTTCGATACGATGCCTTTCATTACCTTTGAGTAATGCCGTCGTTGAAAGAATTTTCAGCGTAATGGGGACAATCAAAACAAAATTAAGGAATCGCATGCAATTACCCATGCTGCTCGCAATTCTTAGGATTCGTACCCATATGAATGTAAGAGGTTTGTGTTGTAACAACTTTCAACTAAGCAATCACATGGTGAGTTTGCACGCTGGTAGAAAAATGTATGTCTCCGGTGGATCTTGCGCCAGTACTAGCACATCAACTACTACTGAAGACGGCGAAAGTCTTGGTGATGCCTTATTATTGCTAGCAGAGGACGAATCATAATAATCCTAATTTTTGTTTATTTGTTTATGTAATTTTTAAAATGTTAACTTTAATTTCATTAACGTGTTTTAAAGATGGCTTATGCCTATTTATCAGTGTGTTATGAACATATTATAAATAAATTGATAAAAACTATATTTTATTTTATTCATTTGATATTTTGGTGTTTGGGCTACTTTAGGCTACTACAACTGAAATTCGGCGATATTAGGCTACTTCATGCATGAGAAACGGCGACATTAGGGCCAGCGCTGTTGGCAACACTGAGTGGCACTCGTGGAGTTTTAGTAACCATAAGTCACTTCGACGGGAAGCGTCGTGCTTTTTATGTTCGCACGTTTTACGAGAACGATCGTTCATACATCTCTACAAGGCGAATGTATTGTTCTGAATATGGATTATCACATATTAATGAAGCTCCAAGTGCAAATTTAATTAAAATATGGATAAAGCGTTTTGAAGAGGCCGGTTCCACGTTTAAACCACCCGCAAAAGGTCGTCCAAGAACGTCTAGGACCACAGACAATATTGAGAGGGTGAAGGAGTCAGTAGGAAAAAATCCGTAAGTGTCTACTCGGAAGCGATCGGCGGCTTTAAACTTGTCGCGACGAAGTTTACAGCGAATTTTGAAGTTGGATCTTAAACTGCATCCTTATAAGCTCCAGTTAACACAGATATTAAAAGAGGCCGACTTCGGAGCAAGGCTGGCATTTGCTGAAGAAATGCTTAGACGATTTTCCTCTTTTGACAACATCCTTTTTTCTGACGAGGCTCATTTTTATTTAAATGGGTTCGTAAACCGACAAAATTGTCGCTATTGGAACGACGAGAATCCAAAAATTAAACATCAAAAACCACTGCATAGTCCGAAAGTAACGGTATGGGCAGCAATCTCAAGCAAAGGAATTATTGGCCCTTTCTTCTTTGAAGATTCACGAGGACGAAACATCACCGTTAACACCGACCGCTATGTTGCGTTGTTAGAGGGATATTTGATGCCAGAACTTGCGAGATCGAGAATAGCGAATACGAGGACTTGGTTCCAACAAGACGGAGCGACCTGTCACACATCAAATGACTCTATGGCGGTTGTGAGACAGATGTTTCCTGCAAGACTAATTTCCAAAAGAGGTGATATCCCTTGGCCCCCACGTAGCCCTGACTTGACGCCTCCTGACTTTTTTTGTGGGGATACCTCAAACATAAAGTCTACATGAACAATCCGAGGAACATCAGTCAGCTAAAGGAAAATATCCGTGGGGAAATGACAGTTATCACCCCAGATTTATTAACAAGAGTTTTTACAAATCTGCGTTCGCGTTTAGAGGTGTGCCGTCTTCGAGAGGGCCGTCATTTAGATGATGTTATTTTTAAAAAATAAACTACATTTAATTACCTAATTATCCTATATTTTATTTCAACTATACCTATTTGTATTGATTTTTTTAGCCTATAATACTTAATAAATGCACGTTCTATTGCGCCACCCGTATTCAAATATTCAAAATGCGTAGTAATGCATTATTTTAACTGATTTTACTGCTCACGCACCCATTTGTAAGGGTCGATCGGTAGGCAAAAACGTTTTTGGATACAATACACAATACATAAACAATTTGGGATTATTTCAAATAAAAGTAGGCACCTTATTTACTCGTAATTTTAAAAACTACAATAACGGTATATCATTATTTATATATTTTAACTTAAGTTTAAAATTTGGCCACTCTTTAAAAATAACCCTGTATATGTAAGTGAAATACCACTGACAGTCTGACTTATCACGAGATCTCTAAAAATTGACCCGATTGACTTGAAATTTAGTATAGTTACTCATTTTGCAATGTAGACGCTCACTAAGGACGGATTTTACGATAGTCCCATCAAGAAAACATCTTGTCTTTTTATTCAAATATAAACCCACTACTTATTGCCTAGCTTAGTGCGCGGGGGTGGCATGTAGCGATAAATACTTTAATGAAGCCGCGCGGCCTGGTGGTCAACATCAAGTAATCGTCATTCATATTCGAAGAAATAGCAGTTTATAAACATAGATACAATTGCTTACAACTTCAATTATTTATTTTATTTTACCACATATTAAATTTTACACCAAAGATAGATAGATACACATGTATTACCTATGTATCGTGCTTTATTGATGATTTGTTAATTACATTAATATTATTGTAATTTCCATTATATATATTTTTATAAATATTTTAGGCGATCTACCCATTCTTGACGTGGTGCAAGCTCGTGAGGAAGCCTTTACATAAAATGATCTGGGGAGGTATTCTAGCAGCATGCGCCTTTATTATTTCTGGAATCGTTGAACTAAATCTCTTGGTAAATTTATCGAACAATATACAACTACTATTTTATTAATATTGCTTATAACTGTGTATCATTATTGTAATTTTCTTATTTTAGCCAACGTATGGTACGCCAGTGTCGGAAGGGTTGGCACAGTTAAGAATATACAATGGTTTCAATTGCAACTTGACCTTAAATCTATACAATATGTCCAAAAACGTAAATGACATTAATATCGGTCCTTTAGCAGCATACGAAAAATTAGATATAGAAGCTCACGAGTTAATCGATTTGCCTTACTCCCTAAGAGGGCACGAAAGTAGTGCTTGTGCGGATGTACGACATGATGGATATCTTCGGTTAAAAGAGAACACCGCTAACTCTTTCTTCGTCACGGCCGGTGAAATTTATAAGTTTACCGACAATAACGACAAAGCTATCGACGGAGTGAACGTGAGGTGAGCTATTATAATTACAGTAACAACTTACTAAATTTTATTCACATAAATTTATGATAAAACAAAAACAACAGGGACATGGTCATGTTTATGACGCTTTTTGAAAAACTAACTCTTCTCTTGCTGCTTTTATATGCAATTTCTACCTATGTACTGACTCATCACGACATCTCTGGAATCATTAGGCCTAGAGACTTGAAATTTGGTATGAATATTCCGTTCGCCGAGTAGAGGTCAGCTAAGAATCGGATTTTATGAAATTCTAACCGCAGGGAGTTAATTGAAAAAATATCACATTTTCAAACTATATCTCTTATAGGTATTAAACTTAGCCAGAATATTATATTTATATGTATTTGAATGGATCCCTAAATAGTTTGTATTCACGATTGGAGCCGGTAGGTGGCGCTGTTGTCGATATCCGGAACTTACCCGTGCGAAGCCGGGGCGGATCGATAGTATTAAATAAAACTATGGGTTAATATTTAATGAATTCATTACATAAATCTTTAATATTTTATACTAAAATAAAATAAAAACACTTCGCTTCACCAAAATCAAAATAATGATCAAGTATACACGTATACTTGATTAGCCGTGGTAGCTCAGATGTTTAACGCTCGCTGTAAATATAACAGAACGCGAGGAACCCGGGCTCGATCCCCGCTGGCACCAATGAAATTGTTAATTGCAATTTTATGTGCTGATTTATCATTTGCTTGGCGGTGAAGGAAAACATCGTGATACAACTTGCATGTCTGAGGACTAAGAAAATAAATAAATTCGAAGACATGTGAAGTTCGCCAACACGCATTAAGGCTGCGCGGCGGACATTTCCTTGCCCTAAAACCTCTCAGAAATGAGATGAGGCCTGTGCCCAACAGTGGGACACGTATATAGGCTGTAACTTTACTAACAGTATAGGGGGAAATATTTTTTACTTATTTCTATTTTTTTAGATATTTTTATAGAAGTAACGGACACGAACGAGCACACAGTCCATTTGATGGTAATGGAATGCAGCCTACCTCTAGATCTATCATTGGTAAAAAAAGTAAAAACAAACAAAAGTGTAGATGCGTGTCACCCGTTATCACCCGCTATATGAAATACATACCTCGTTACAAGTGGGTCTACAGATTTATCGTTACTCATTTTACAAAACAGAGCAACTTTAATTAGTGTATGTATAGGAATTTCAATTAAATAAGCAGGCGAATTAAAGTTTTAATAGGTTAGAACTAAAGCTCTAACAAAATTTATAAATTAGAAAATGCATACCAATGTCAGAGTAGATTTACAAAAATATATCAACAAACTTTACAGTTCATCGTGAATATTGTCGCAATGTTTTTTATGATAGTACTTATTGTAAATGTCATTCCAAAACTTAAACATGTTTTGTTCTATTTCGGAATAGATTAATTTATCTTTGTTCCCAAATATGAAAACATTATCTTCACCTAAAGTTGTTGGAGACCATGTAATGTTTCCTTTTTTGTTATGTACAGGGTCGCCAAATTTTGCAAAGTTCGCCCACATCTCTGCGATTCGTTTTAAAAATATTCTGTCTTTATTACTCAAATCGTGTTTCAATTTGACATAGTTCTCCCAAAGCGGTTCGCATTTAAGAATATAACATATTTCATCTCCTTCTGCAGCACCTTTTACCAATATATTTGTCCCAGCCAATGACGTAGTTTTCACGGCGTTAAATTTTCCAATATAATTAAATTTGTATACATATACTGTTCTCTTTTGCGCAGCTAATAATTTTACATATTTATAAATGGGATAAATATGTAGATCAGAGGAATATCGTACAAAATTTTGAATAGACTGCTCAGACAGGCCACCTTTAAAATATCTCTCCTTGATCTTTGTTGCAACTTCTTTGTATAATTTCGAGGAAGAATTATATTTACATCCATCAGAAAATGGTACCATATATTTGAAAAATTTTTCAAAGTTTTTTAATAGCTGAGTATTATGTAAAAACGGGATTATCTCGGATATACTTTCTTGACTATTAAAACCAATTAGAATCGGTACCTGAAGATCATCCTTTTTCATAATTTTATATGTATTCCGGGATATATCCGTTATGAGGGATTTATTTGACACTTTTTCAATCAAGGGTGTGAATGGAGCAACCGGTCTATTGAAATTGATTATATCTTTCCTTTTGTAAATTTTCTGAGACGCCATTACTATGTTTTTAGTAGAAGCACTGACTAAATTTTTATTAGTAAAAATTTTGAGTTCATATAATAATCTATTTCTTTCTAAACTGGGATTGCTTTGAAATAAAGTCGGAGAAAACAGAGTCCCACTTTGTAATATAATCTTCGAAAAAATTTTTTTAAAGCTGGTAGTTGTTAACAATGTTATGAAAGTACCAGCGGATCCGCTTCCCATTACGGTAATATTATTTTTCTCGCCACCAAACTTTTTTACATTTTTTCTTATCCATTTTAGTGCCATAACAATATCTTTCAATCCCATGTTTGCATTTGAATCACTGTCATTTACTTTTAAGAAGCCAAAAACACCTATTCTATGAGTTACACTGATGAATATTACTTCATTGTCTATCAAGAAATCTGCTCCGTGTACATGACTAAAACTGGAAGTAAAAGCATATCCATGAATCCACACGATGACTGCTTTCAAGGATTGACACCCGTTGTCGGGTAAACAAGGTGTATAGATATTTAAATTAAGACAATCTTCGTATCCATATAATGCATGCTTATGTATGATGTGGGCTTGGGCACAGGCACCATGATATTGGGTTCTTGCGTCAAAAGGTTTTTTCCATTTACTTGGTGCCTTTGGATCTTTGAATCTAAGATTTCCAACTGGCGGTCGAGCGTATGGTACTCCATAAAATGCGAAATATAATTTATTTTCAAATAAAGTAAACTCTCTTATTCCTAAAAGTGTACCTTGTTGTACATTTACTTTCACTTCATACAATTGCGTAGTTAAAAATAGATTTGTAACAAAAAATAATTTGCAAAACAATTGATTCATTTCTAACTGAAGTGAGTTTGAACGCAATAAATTTTGTATCCATAACAATCATTGTAACAAACCGAAATTAAAATCTTTCAGGTGTAAAAAGATTACGGACATTAGAAAATGAAATAAAATCAATGACGACGAAAATGCAAGTGAGGTGGCAAATATACGGCACTATGCCTATTACCAACGCCCTATGTTAAATTATTTTAATTTAATAACATATTTCGTTGTTGCCACTCGCCAATAAATTTTCGAATTTATTGTTCACAGTTCCAACATCGACATCATAAAACAGCACCTTTTAAAAAAAAACAATTGTGTGGTCTATGAAAATTCATCGCTCTATTTTCAATTTTCATCCCGTTGCAATCGTAAGAAGCGACTATGGAAAATTCCAAATAATCTTATAATTGAGACAGCGACAGCAATCATCACATTTAGGCCAGACGTAAAATACTCAGACCGGTGACAGGGACAAGGTCAACATCAAAGGTGCAAGATGTTTGTTAGTGCGATCTTCATATTGATTCCCAACTGAGCGAGTTAGCCGAAATCTTTTTTGCCAAACAGAGTATAAAAATATACTAATACTCGTACAGTTTTATGTTAGATAATAGCATATTCATAATATAATTTACTCATAATCTTTCGAGGCACTGGGAATAGGATTCAGGATTCAAGTGACCGCTAAAAAATTGTGTACTTAATCTCAATCATTTAATCTATTACTTTTCTATTCTGGAAATATAGTTATTGTGATTGCTTCAGTCCCTCTAATTCACCAAGTCTGCCTCTTATCTTATCGCGTTATATGCGGGTAGTTTAGGACGAGCGTGAGTGCCTTTGTTTTCGTATATGTACTCTGGAACCGTAGATAATACTATTAAGAAGTTATTGTTACGACGAAACTGGACCAAATTATATCATTGTCAAAATCACAGTAATTTACAACTTTTATGCGGTCCATGACACAACCATCTCTTAAATTAAAGAGATTTTCCGAAGCCATCACGCTTGGTGGGCTGGTCAACAACATATTTTGCCGTTTTTGAAAAATTCATTACACCATCGCCTATTGACATGACTAAAGTCGACTATAAGAAATGTGGGTTAAATATCATTATTTAAATTATTCCAAGAAATGACGAAACAATTAACTCCAATAATTGCTTGGACTGACGGGAACTTATAGACTAAATAAATATCTTTCAATAACTTATATCTTTAAACTTATGGTCTAATCAATTATAATGATTCAATAATGATTATAATTAATAAAGTTATATGTATATTTCACGAAAGATTAACTTACGTATGTATGTTTTTTTTATTTCTTGCGTTTAGGTTCCTTTCAAATACGGTTGCACCTGTACAAATTTACATACAAGATAACAATACGAATCGAACAAAATTAAGCTTATCCAGTAGTGATAAGAGGCAAAACACTATAGGCAAGGGGATGTATGATGTTCTAGTTGCATCCAGCAGTACACAAGTAGTATTAAAAGACTTCTCCTTTGAACCGGGCGCTGTTTATACAATTAATGTATATGAAGACAACGGGGGAAGATACGTAAGTGCTGTTTCTGTAAATTTTTGAAAAAGAATATTTTTAAAATTAAAAAAAAATTGCTGCATAAATATGTATTATGCTAGTAAATTTCCCTTTCTATAACCATTTCTCATTTAATTAACATTAAGCATACATATCGACTGCCTGCATGTCTTTCTAAGTCGTCACTCGACCTAGTGGTAGACCGCGCTACACTTCGCCTACCGGTACGAGGCTGCCACTCTATGATGCAGGTGGCTCAGGACCGTGCTTTGTGGTACTCCTTGGATTAGGCCTATGTTCAGCAGTAGACTTGTAAGGGGCTGTAATAATGATGATGATGGTGATGAAAAAACATACACGTATGAAAATTATAGGTCATGTTTTTTTTTTAATTAGTTGGGTATTGGGATGCTCAACCTCTCTATTAAACATTTTTGAAAATCGAAACGTTTCATATCAAATCTTTTGTTATAATTAATATTTTATTGCTATACTTATAAAATTAAAAAGCGAGATGTAAGGGAAAAAAGGGGAAATAAACTTTATCTCTACTCTGTGATGTATTAACGAGATTTTGGTAACCGATGGTGAAAAATCAATCCAAAAAGGTCAAACTTCAATTCCAGGAATTGTTAGTGAAGTTCTTGGTATTGCGCTTATCGTCACGCCTCATCAACAAATCAGCCTGTGCAATAATCGTATGAACAAATATTCCAACTAATGCTTGCCATCTTTCACTATTTTTTTAAAAATTCTTTTGATGTTATATGAACAAACTTTTCGGAAATGCTCTCTGCTCACGTTTCGTATATTTATGTAAATATACGATGAGATAGCGGTGTAAGAAAATCGAATATCCTAATTCATCCTTTGGGTGTCGCAAATGCTGCTAAAACCCAATAGTTGGCGGCGTAACCATTTCTTGTACGTCAGACATAAAATAACCCAGACTGGTGGCAGGTAGCAGCGTTGGCACGAGGCATCTGGCGCTGCGGTCGTCAATGTACCTACCAAGCGTGACGATTAGGGTAAGTCCTCTCCCCAACGGTAAATGTACATGTCCAGCAATGAAATGTCAAAGCCCAATAAGAAAATAAAGAACATTAATATAATAATTGTTTCCTACATAGATGGCAAATGCAGTAGTCATAACGCCACCGAACAGCGTGCACATACTGTGGCTGATACCGCAATACGTTATAATGACGATGGGCGAAGTCATGTTCTCTGTGACGGGGCTGGAGTTCTCTTTCACCCAGGCGCCAGCCAGCATGAAGTCAGTACTGCAATCTGTGTGGCTGCTTACTGTTGCTTTCGGGAATCTGATTGTTGTGCTTATCGTTGAAGGCAACTTTTTAGATGCTCAGGTAAAAAGTTAGATATAATTCTATAGTATATACTGAAAGTTAGCTTCCGCTGATCTCTTTGTGACTTTAACTGGAAAAAATACTAACTATTCACTACTACGATCAGATCTAGACGTATATGAGATGACGCAAAGTCAATACTTCTACACAATTGTAGAATTCCGTGACTTAAGGATGATTTACACAGGGCCAGTACAAGGCGCTAGACTGCCAGTGTTGGCGCCGAGGACTGGCTCGCACTGTAGCTGTCAGTAGTCGTGGTAACTTCTTAGGATGTACGCACGTTAATGAAGTTAGTGAGAAAAAATTAATTCACGGAAACGGCAGAATTTACAACGATTGAAATCATAGAATACTATAATACATACATAATAGAACAAGGGGAATAGGCGGAGCCCGCTTAGCCACTAAAATGTCACTAACACGTCAATTCACACGTATAAACGTCAACATGAGATGTGTTTTGACGTTACAATCTTTTCCAAATTTCCCATGCAAATTATTTATAAAATGCCAAATTGCACGCTATTTACAAATAAATATGTATTGAAATCTGTCTGTCAACACAACGAATCGGGTTTGTAGTAGTGATAATACGACGTTATTGCTTGTATGTGTGCTTCCGGTGACGCCTATCGTCGTATAAAATAAGGTTGACAGACATTCTATTGTGTATTATAGTATTCTATGATTGAAATACTTGTTGAGAAAATGTTCCTATCTGTTGTTGAAACAGTTTACGGAAATGTTAGAAGAAGAGATATCCAAAAGGAAACGATTTTGGATAAGAAAATATAAATTATATAATTAATATAAATAAATGTATCATGCATGCTTTCAGTAATATAAAATGCGTTCATTTACCCTCGTTTACTAATCTATAAATTTTATAATTTTATGATATGACGCGACGTCATACTACAATACTAAGTCAGCACTGATGCGACAGCGCTATACTGACTCCAAATCAATTTACATTAATGCCAGTAGTGGGTCAGCACTGAATTGTCTCGAACTTGGAGCCTGTCTGTCTACTGTACTGTAAATCAGCTATTAACTTTAAACCCGTAAGCAACACTGGCCACCGGCGCTTCGGAGGGGAGTAGCCATAAGCTGTCGTTCCCATCAGTCAAAGCATAAGTGCATGCGGACAATTCATAATTCGTACTATAAAAATAGTTGCAGCCGCACTGCTCCCTAGACTAAATCTGGTTGCACGGATGAATCAATGCCCTACAAAAATGCCGAAATGTTCAGTTTGTTGCTGCCATAAAATTCTTTCACGTCAAGCTTACAAAAATATGGCGTTACCTTTCTAAGTGACTTTTTAACACATTATTGCTATTTACTTTTTTAAACTTAAAAATTACTATATAATGGTCGTGTTCCTTAGGATTTGTTTATCAACACAGGCCGCTCATACTCACACATAATGTTGTCACCGAGCGATACTGTTATAATGTAATAAAAACTTTTTATTACATTTTCTTCTTTGATCATATCTACCTACACGTGTAAAATACACGTTGTACGTAGTGTATACACAATTCTTATTATATAATAAATTTTCGTTTTTCTTCTTTCAGTGGAAGGAATTTTTCCTGTTTGCCGGACTGATGATATTAGACATGCTTATCTTTACTGTGATGGCACTGCGCTACAGATACGTTGAGTTGAAATCCAGTGCTGAGGAGTTGGCTGTAGAAGAGATCATGATGCCGGATAGAACGATTAAGCCCGAAAAGAAAAACTAGCTATTTGTACAAAAAAAAGACTTGAATAAACTAATTTTACAGATTTTACCGCATTAAATTTAACATAACTAACTATGTTTTTATATTTTAATTCGGAATTTTCGGGTGATTTTAAGCACCCACGGTCACGACGGAGGCTGACTAAGAGACGTAAAGGGATATTACACTTGAAGGTTAATAAAAAATGACTAATTTTCTTAGGCGGCTTATATTAGGTTTTTATAGAAGCTCGTTTTAAGATGTAGGCATTCTTGTCTGTGACTCCTCTGACATACGGTAGTACAGCTGGCACACGTTCGACTTTGACAGGTTTCACTCGTTCACTGTGGCCTAAGCGCTCTATTCAAAGCCTATCATCTTGCAATACTTGCTTGACGTACTAGAGTTCAGCACGGTTAAGTGTTTTCTGTCACATATCCCTGTACGAAACTAATATTTTCCAACTTAACAGTGATGGGTGGTGGTAAGATTAACCAATTAAATATCAGTTAGCAAGGGTCTGTTAAATTAGTAAAAAATAAGTTAAATTAAACGCAATAAAATCTGTAAAATTGGTTTTATTTAATGTAATGTAGTATTCGTGTAAATAAAAAATCAAATAAAGACTTGTTTTAAATTTACATTTGTGATGGTTTCTTTGCTGGTTTATTCGTTTACTGATATTAATGTTGATGTCATCCACGGTGATAACTTACACATGATGTAAAGGCTAGAAAAGGTTATCTACACGTGGTAGAGCCATGTTGCAGTTATATTAGTAGTATAGTAGTAGCACGAATGGGTCGGCTGGACTGGGGAGGTACCGCGCTCTCACAGAATAGCAGCGTAAAGTAGTAGCTTTTTGCGGCTGTGTTTTGTATGGTCAGTGTGGGAACCGGAGGTTCTTTTTACTGGAAACGAAACATTCCATCTTGGTGACAAAAAATTTGCATTTTGATTCGTAATCGAGGATAGATGTAGATTTCTATAGGCCACAGCAACCACTTACCATCAGGTGGACTGCATGCTCGTTTGTCAGCCTGTCCTATTAAAAGAAAATTATATCACGAAATGGTCAAGCTTTAAGCGTCGTCGTAATTGGCAACGATCACACAAGCAAACGACGCGATTTCGTCGCACGACGAGATTAAACACACACATTTCTTTAAAGTATCTTAATTGAAGCTTGCAAATCATCGCGAGAGCAGAGAAAATGCTTAATGACGATCGTGCGATGGGTTTGATCGTACAATCAAAGCTACAAATCTCTTTTGAGTGTCCTAATTGGTCACACATCATCGTGCGAGCGTAGCAACTCAAGGTCACTCGTAAGTCGAGACAGAGATGAGTAGAGACCTAAGAGATTAAAAAACAAACTATGTATTTCAATATTCACAGTATTCTTGCGGTGACGGCGCGGCGGGATCGCGTCATCACCTGATGTTGTCACACCTATTGGACCTTCGCACGATCTTTTTCATCGTACATGCCAATGGAGGCGGCGTCTTACTTTACTGCTTACGACAAAGCACATTATTTTGTTACATCGCTGTGAACAACTTTTCACTATACACTTTCTGTTTTGACGGTGTTCGATAATAATTAATGACTATCGAACTGTCAGTGTTACGCACAGGCACACTAATACAATATGCATATGCATTATGCACAATATACAACAACTAAAATGTGTTAATAATAAAATAATTTATTGAATATAATATAATATTGTATTGTAATGGCAACACTGCGTCGGTTGTCAAGGAAGGTTCAGTACATAGAGAATATTTTTATAACCAGAAGTTCAGTGTGAGGTTATATTATGTTGTTGTTGTTTGAAATATAAATAAAAAGCACGTTTTTATGTTCAAAGTATTGTATCTTTAATTATCCCCATAATCCTTAACATGGTTGTGGGCTCAGGATGGCCATCGCATTTTATAGTAGATTAAGTGTTATAGGACAAAAAAGGTAAAAAGAAAAATATAAAATTGTCCCTTTCGCGGGGGACAATTACAACGCGAGGGAGTTCCGATTAAAAAGTATGCTGCGGGATAATGGAGCAATAGAGGCGATCGAAAAGGAGGATTTTAGTAAATCTGCGAATAATAAGCAATTGAAAGCTAAGGTCCAGGCTATCATAATAGCGGTAACCGCCGACAGTCACCTCGAATTCTTAAAGGACATATCTGCTTACAATACAATACAATACTCTTTATTGTACACCAACAAAACATAAGTATAACAAATAATGAACAAACAATAAGGGAAAAACAAAAGGCGGTCTTATTGCTACATAGCAATCTCTTCCAGACAACCCAGAAGAGGAAATTTATGAAAATAAAAATAAGATTAACGGGTAGGGTGCAATAAATAAAAAAAATACAAACTTATATACTAAAATGACAACATACTTTAGGTAGACTTATGACCATAACTAAGAGGAGGAAGAGAGATGAGTTAAAGAGAAAAATAGTGTTCCTTAATCTGTTTAAAAACCACCTTGTGGAACGCCAGCTACGGTATCAAGCCCCGAAGAAAGTCTTTCTTGGACACGAATACATTGCCGGCGCCTATACAAATAACTATGAAACCAGGAAATTGCAGTTGGAGATATGTTAAGAGAACACAGAATCCCTAACAGGTTATCATGATCAACAGTGTTGAATGCATTACTGAAATCCAGCAACACCAATACTGTGACTTAATGATTCTCCATACCATGGCGAATGTCGTCGGTGATTTTTAATAACGCCGTAGTCGTACTATTACCAGATCTAAAGCCAGATTGGAGGAGACTAAGTATGCTATTTCTTAAACAGAAGGAATTAATTTGTTGTTGGACAAGGCATTCTAAAACTTTAGAAAGGAAAGGGAGAATTGAAATAGGACGATATTCAGAAAAACTTGAAGGATAAACTTGAACTTGTAGGTATGATTTGGGCGTCCTTCCATTGGGAAGGGAAAGAAGATGAAGATATGGAAAAGTTTAAGATATGGGTTATAATAGGTGTTAAAAAAAAGTCTAGCAAGGGAATAATCATTTTACGACTGATATCATCACTTCCGACAGCGTCAGAATGGATAGAGAGAGTATCTGTTTCTTAACATCACAATCTGCAAGTTGCCTAAACACAAATGGAGAAAAGTCAGAAGTGGGAAACAATGAAAGTTGAGTAAGGGTTGCTGATTTTGCCATATTGTTCAAGCAAGAAACAGAAATGCGGATTAAGTAAATTTAAACCGAGGTTATTTGGAAGAGGACATGAACGTGTTCTCCCAACTCCAATAGACCTTAAGAAGTTCCAAATACGACATAGATCTTCGTTTTGTACTGATTTATGGATGTGGCGGCGTCGTAAGTCTCTACACATCTTCTGCATTGATTCCGCAGGAGTCTATACTTCTCCTGAATCCTGTCATTCTTTGGATCTGACTTGTAACTTGACCGTGCGTTATACTTCCTGCAGATTAATCTTTTAAGATCTTCGGTCAACCACGGAGCTGGAGGATGACGAATTCGCACTGGACGGACAAGAGCATGAGCATCATAAAGTTGAACAAGAAGTGAATTAAACAATGCTACCTGTTCGTCAACATCACAAGCCTTCATTATAACGCTCCAGTCCATATTTGCAGTGTCTTTAGGGCTTTTCCAAATCCATTTTCTCAAAATTACGTTGCAAAAATATCCTTGATTTGGCTTTGGGTGGCCTTATTTTATAAGATCATGATATGAAAAAGCATTGCCAGCACATTGACCAAATCTATCAACATGGTTGAGAGAGTTTGGGAAAAAATGATTTTCAGAGAGAGGAAGGATATTTAAATTGGCTGCTTCTATAATGGACTTTAGCCGAAGAGATCGGGCATCATTCTTTAGAAGACACGTATTAAAGTGGCCCATTAACACTGTATGTGTATATGATGGAGTAAGCTCTTCAAGAAGGTTATCCAATGTAGTAAAATAGTCCACTCTGGAAGAAGGACTATAAAAATGCCGAGAAGTTGTCGTAAAGCGACAGTTAAAAACTAAAGAACCTAACCTAACAACAACGAAACGACAAAAAAAACGAATAATTTATTTAAAATTTTAAAAAGATAAAAATATATGAAAATGATGATGGGGTTTCAAACTAGAAGCATCACGGAGTATGCACAGGCTATGCCTGTGGTAGGTGCGCAGCGCCTGATCTAGGCACACGCAGCGTCTGGAGTATGCACACGCAGCGCTTGAAGTAGGCACACACAGCGCCCGGACTAGGCACACACAGCGCCCGGAGTAGGCACGCGCAGCGTCTGGAGTAGGTACACGCAGCGTCTGGAGCAGGTACACGCAGCGCTTGAAGTAGGCAAACACAGCGCTCGGAGTAGGCATACACAGCGCTCGGAGTAGGCACACACAGCGCCCGGAGTAGGCACACGCAGCGTCTGGAGTAGGTACACGCAGCGTCTGGAGCAGGTGGAGGCGTAGGCGTGGCTAGGCGACGACTTCAGGTGAAGGCAGAGGCTTGCAGGATCCCGGGGCAGTGCGGATAAGTCCTTTAGGAGATGCTTCTAGTATGAAAGCTGAAGCGAGACTCCCTTTATTGGCCGATTGTTCGGCTTTTATACTTTTTGACGGATCTGGGATAAGAACGGGAAATTATTTAAATTAAAAGCAAATTTTTGTAAATGGCCAAGAGGAAAAGAGTATTTTTGTGGAAGTATTGAAGTAAAAACATCAGGCCGGTAACGAATTCGAATAAAAATTGCCATGACAACCAGATTAACAACGATGTCAAAACATGTCAAATTTTGGTTTTAGGCTCGTAATAGAGAAACGGCAAGATTTAAGTGAAAAATGAGATATTATTGATATAGGAAAAAAGGTAGCGCAACAGTGCGCACGAAGCCCGAAATTGCAGAGTTACGGAGAACTAAATAAAAGACCGAAAAAGGTAGACTCCATTGACACCGATTTAAAAAGTGCTGATAACGTGAAAATACGAAGTGAAAATGATTTGTTATTGTGTTCTTAT